AGTAGCCAATACAATTTCCAAAAAGAATAACAGCCCTGGCAGGCATGGCTCAGTGGATTGAGCGCCGGCCTGTGATCCAAAGGGTCGTCAGTTTGATTCCCAGTCAGGGCACATGCCTGGGTTGCGGGCCAGGTCCTCAGTGGGGAGGTGTGTAAGAGGCGGCCACACACTGATGTTTCTCTCCTTTCTCCCTCCCTTACCCTCTCTATGAAAATAAATAAATAAATAAAATCTTTAAAAAAAAAAAAAAAGAGTAACAAAGTTGGAGGAGTCACACTTCCTGATTTCAAAATTTACTGCAAAGCAACAGTGATCAACATATAGATATGTAGTACTGGCATGGGACAGACATGTAAATCAATGGAATGGAATTGAAAATCCAAAAATGAACCCTCATATTTGTTGACCATTGATTTTTGACAAGGGTGGTATAACTATGCATACTCAACAATTAGTGCTGGGACAACTGGATACTTATATGCATAAAAATGAAGTTGGACCCCCTACTTCACACCATATAGACAACTCAGAATAGCTCTTTTAATTCAGAATTAACCAAAGACCTAAAGGTAAGAGCTTAAGCTATGAAACTCTTAGAAGAAAACATAGATGTGAATCTTTGTGACCTTGGATTTGGCAATGGTTTCTTAGATATGGCACTAAAAGGACAAGTGACAAAAGGAAAAAAATAGATAAACTAGACACCATCAAAATTAAACACTCTTGTGTGCCAAAGAACACCATCAAGAAAGTGAAGAGATGATCGACACAACGGGAAAAATATTTGCAAATCATATATTTGATAAGGGACATATATCTAGAATATTTTTAGAAATAGTACAGCCTGGCTGGTGTGGCGCAACAGTTTGAGCGCTGGCTTGTGAACCTAAAGGTCCCTGGGTCGATTCCTGGTCAGGGCACAGGCCTGGGTTGCGGGCCAGGCCCCAGTTGGGGGCGTGCAAGAGGCAACCAATAGATGTATCTCTCACACATTGATGTTTTTCTCCTTCTCTTTCTCCCTCCCTTCCCCTCTCTCTAAATCTTAGAAACAAAACAAAACAAAAAACCTTTAAAAAAATATTACAAATAAATAATAAGAACAAATAACACACAAGAAAAAAGGGCAAAGGATCTGATTGGAAAGAAAATACAAAAATGACCAATAACAACAGGGGAAGATGTGCGACATCATTACCAATCAAGGAAATGCAAATCAAAACCACAATGAGATACCACTTTATACCCTCTAGCATGGCTATAATACAAAAGAGAGATAATAAATGTTGATGAGGCTGTGGAAAAATTAGAACCCTTATACATGCTGGTGGGAATGTAAAATGGCAGTCACTTTGGAAAATAGTTACACACAGGGTTACCATATGACCCAACAATTCCACTCTTACTTATATACTCAACAGAAATGAAATACACGTCTATCCTTATGTGCATGATGGGCTATTATGCACCCCTCTTGTGCGGCAGGTGAAGGACTTTATTCTTGGTGGGATATAGTAGTAGAGCTGGTCAAGTGCCGTATGATGCACATGCTTTAAGCAGAACAAAGAAGTATGTGTTGAGTCTGAAACAAGAACTATATTCCCACACAAACACGGGGGACCAATGTCCATTACTGAAGCTGATCTTGCTTCGTCCCTTCTCTATGGAGGTAAAGCACTGTTCCATCCAGAGTCTCTATGAGTCATGTCTGTCCCGGTGACTCCAGCACTTACAAACTGCAGAGTGGATCGACACCCTGAGACTGCTACTCCTGGTGACAGGCACTGTTATGCTATTTGCTGCCCTCCATGTGGTGGGACTGCTCCCCTGGAGGTGGTATAGATGTCATTTCCTCTATATCAGCAAACTATAGGATTCAATTTACAGACCAGCTTTATGAAGGAGAGAAACCGCCCAGTTCAGGGGCTGGACCCAGGTTGGTTTCTAGGGCTTGTGTGGCAACCAGCAGTAAGAGGAGAAGTCCACCACAAACCAGAGGAGCAGGCCTTCGTGAGGAAGTGAGCGGGAACTATCACGATCCGAGTTTTTCTGTCTCACTTTTCTGTATGTTGCATCAAGTATAACATTTATATAAAAAGAGTATTAACAATTCTCATGTATTTTCAGCAATCATATTCAGTTGCACTATATAGAAACCCCAAAGAACAAGTATAACTATTATTATGACTAATAACATTAACAGACAAGTAAAGATTCTTAGTCACCAAAGAATACCAGAGCAAGGGCCACGGAGAGCTTGCCAGACATTGCAGGGGCCGCGGCGGCTTTCCAAAGCACCGGCCCTTCTCCAGGGTCGCTCTCTCAGGGTGCGCCCGTGCTAGCGCATGCCACCCTTCTCGGTGCCTCCGCCAGCTCCTCTGGGACCACTGCTTTACCACTCTGGGTCCCTATGGCTCCTCTCTCTGCCGCTCTGGATTCAGGGATCTGAAACAACTATTATCACCCCATTGGCTATTTTGGAGCTAAAAAGAGTTCAGTCTCTTGGGAACTTGCTGTAAAAGGAAGCAGATTCCAACGTGGCATCTCATATTTAACTGGCAAAGATTTTGTTCAGACTCTTCAGTCAGTGTGATCCGATTAAAATGCTGAAATTAAAAGCAGCCACTCATTTTTTCTTCTTCCTTTTTGGCATTATCTCAACCCTTATCCACTTTGAGGATTTTCTAAGAATAAAGTCAGGTAAATAAAGTCAGGATCCACTACCGAAAGCAAGGAGGCTCAGGATTCTAGTGAAAACTCTCCCAAATTCACCTGATGCAAAAGTAGGGGGTTGGGGGGACTCCGTGGGCCTTTTGCTTATACCTAGCACCAGGCCCAGGGCCACCGGGTGGTCCTGGGTGGGCTTCCTCAGAATCCTGCTGATGATACCTAGTAAATGTCAATATAAGGAACATCCAAACCTGCAGGGAATTTTTATGAGTTTATTTGGACCAAACTGATGACAATTGCCAGGAAGCAAGATCTCAAATGCCTTGGTGAATGACAATTTTGAAGTTTCTTTTATGCATTTGAAGTTAAGAAGATAATGTAAGATTACATGAAGGTGGGAGAAAGCAAGGCAAGGACTGAATTACAGAATAGTTAACAGGACTATGTACTCTCTCCAGAGTGGTTAAGCTTCCTTCAGAGGTTTGTTAACCCAGATGCACTGCAACAATGGACAGGGTTTGCTTAAAGCAAAGATCAATGGTTCTCTCATACATCACTGTTTCTCTTCCTCTCTAAAAAAATAAATAAAATCCTTAAAAAAATAAATAAAGAAAAGAAAATTAAACCCAAAGCAGAAGGAAGTCATAACAAAGATTAAAGAGGGAATTAATGAAATAGAGATGAAAAAAGCAATGAAAGAAAGAATTCATGCTTTGAAAAGATTTTAAAATTCTTAAAAAAATTTTTTTTGAAGATTTAATTTCTTTTTCGAGAGAGGAGAGGGAAAGAGAAAGAGAGGCCAAGAACATTGATGTGGGAAACATTGATTGGTTGCCTCTCCCACACCCCCAGCTGGGAACCTGCCCCACAACCCAGGCATGTGCCCTGACCGGGAATCGAACCAGCCAACTTCGTTTTTCAGGCCTGTCTATGCTCAATCCACAGAGCCACACCAACCAGGGCTAAAACCCCCTTTTTTTAAGAGGAGAAAGTCTTAAAAAAAAGAACCTATGTTGTAACCTTGTGTCTCGGTGTCTGTAATGGTGGAGGGGACCATGAGAAAAAACGTTGAGGAAAAGTGGGGCAGCAGAATCCTCCGCGGTAAATACGTTGCTACTGTGACCAGAGCCAAGAAGTCCAGAAAAACTGTCAGCCTAAAGTGAAAAATCTCATTTTCCCCAGACTCGTCTCCTCCACCTGAAATAAAGTCCTGACTCTGAATGTGGACATTTACTACGACCACGACTCCCACAGCTACTTTTTTTTAGGGGGGGGGGGCGGTGAGAATGGGGGGAGTAAGTAACAAGCGCTGCATATGAAATAACGCTGAGATGATGTATCTCATTTCGCTTCCATGGTCGCTCACGTTAGAGCATTATCCTGAGGGGACATAGGAACCCTGACCTGTACAGATTTTCTTTATCGTACATAAATTAAAAAATAATAATAAATTACCTTTTATATTGGAGAGATGGTTGGATATGTATGAAATGGGAACCAAAGTGGGCATCACCAGGAACCAGGCAAATAAATCTACATTCCGGGGGTGCTGGTGGTGGCGGTGGCGGTGCCGGTGCCGTCGCAGCCAGGGGAGGAGTTGGTGAGGCCGGCTGCCAAAACAGATTTCAAGTCTACTTTGGTCCAGCCACTTCCCAGCAGCAATGATCAGACCACCATTGTTTGTGGGCTCCCATGGACTAACTCTGGGGGATGAGAGTGCTCTGGACTAACTCTGCGGGATGAGAGTGCTCTTGAAAAGGCCTAGTGGCTGACCCGAGCCAGGCCTGGCTGAGGATCTGCAAGGAAGGAGAACGGGAATGCTTGGCGGGAAGCGATATCGGAGGCACAACAGTGCGGCTGGTTTGCCTCACAGAGCAAGAACTGCCAGAACACCGTTAATACATGCGAAAAGGAAAAGTTATTGGAGAAATGAGTGCGACTTGATCTTGGTAGTGTTTCAGGAGCGGCCGCTTTCCCTGTGAACTCTGCAGCACAAGTTACTGGCGTCTTGAATCGACCCCCAAAATAGCGTCGCCCTCGTGGAAGCCGCAAACAGGACCCTGCGAAGTGCTACCTGTGAGCTGAGGGAACTCGGCCATCTTACGGAATCAGATTCCAATATGATGGCGTCTGTATCGAAGTCGTGCAGTAGGCGCGGCCATGTTGCCTCTAACTTCGTGTCCGTACAAACGGTCACCGTACGGACTCAACCGACAAGGTGGCGGCTCCCTCAGAAAAGCAGAGTAGGCGCGGCCATGTTTCCTGCGAACGTACGGACTCGGATGCCGTACGGCCCCGGTAACCAAGATGGCGGCGCCTGAGAGACAGTCGGTGCTTTAGCGGGGCGACCACTAGGTCGTCGCGGAGTTGACGCACTGAACCTGCGTAATAGGGGTACGGTGCCCGGGAGGCGCGACAAGAAGCGGAAGTAGTAGTGGGTACTTTTGCAACCGCCGCGGACGCTGTGGAGTGGTCAGTGCAGATTCGCGGGTCGCGAAGGGGTCGCGAAGGGGTACACCAGGAGTTGAGAGATGGTGAGTACCGGGTCCAAGGACAGCGTCGGCGGTGGAGGTTAGGGGGGTTGGTTATGGTGGGGTTCATCGGCAGACGCGGGGATCTGTGTTAAACCCTAAGGAGAGACCGTGGGCAATATTGTGAGGTCCCGTGGGGAGGCTTAATTGGGTTCTGTAGGCAGAATAATTGGGGGTCTGATGGTCCGATTTTTTTCCTGATGTGTGAATCACCTGGGAGGTCCGTGATGAGCCATTGTGGGAGTCCGTAATAGAAGTTTAGTGGGATCACTAATGGTAGTTCCTTGGGCGTCCGGATGAGGGATTCTTTTGGCAGAGAGAGAAAGGGTGTGCGATGAGCCGTATGGGGTAATCTGTAGTGTGCCGTGGTGACTTTGTATCAAGGGATTCGTGGGGAAACCATGATGGGGGCGGGGTGTGTGGGGTTAATAACGGAGGATCTGTGGGGAACCGTGATAGGAAGTCTGTGGGTAAATTACGTCGTGTTTGTGAGAAGCTGTGATGGGCATTTGTGAGGAACCACGATATGGGCAATATGGGATGAGGAGTAGATGTTTGTAATGAGCCTTTAGGAGTGTGTGGATAAAGTGATGGGGTGTCAGTGGGGTAAGCATGGGAGGTCTGGGGCAGAGCGATGGGGGTTTATGAGCAGAGTAATGGGGTGTCAGGGGTGAGTGGTTAGACGGCGTCTGTGGGGAACATAATGGAAAGATAGTGTGAGGAGCCATGATGGGAAGTCTATTGGCAGAGTGTTGGGGTCTGTGGTGAGCCATGATGGGAATTCTCTAAGGAGCCATAATGTGGGGGATCCCACAGGAAGGGGATGGTTCAGACCCAGAGCCTCCAGATGCTGGGGAGGACAGCAAGTCGGAGAATGGGGAGAATGCGCCCATCTACTGCATCTGCCGCAAGCCAGACATCAATTGCTTCATGATGTGAGCGGGGAAAGGTGGGCGGGGCTGACATCTGTCAAGGTTGGGTGCGGCCGCTGGGTCCGGCCCCTCACATCTCCACCACTCGCCCCATCCTCTGCAGCGGATGTGACAACTGCAATGAGTGGTTCCATGGGGACTGCATCCGGATCACTGAGAAGATGGCCAAGGCCATCCGGGAGTGGTACTGTCGGGAGTGCCGAGGTGAGGGGTGGAATGGACAGGGCAGGCAGGTGGGGCTTAGAGGGAGGAGGAGGAGCCATGATGGGAGACTGGGCCATGGGGAGTAGCGATATATTGGGTTGGCCAAAAAGTTCGTTTGTTTCCCTCCACCCCCCTCTTAACGTGGCTCTAGTAGGGCTTAGTTGTCTTTAACTTCATTTGAAACAATTTTGCTAGATTGTATTGTGACAGCTGTCAAATCAGCGTGCATTTTTTTTAAAAAAAAAAACAACAAACAAAAAAAACCACATTGGCTGGTGTGGCTCAGTGGATTGAGTGCCGGCCTGCAAACCTAAAGGTCGGTGGTTTGATTCCAGTCAGGGCACATTCCTGGGTTGCAGGCCAGGCCCCAGTTGGGGGCGCTCGAGAGACAACCAATCAGTGTATCTCTTGCACATTGATGTTTCTCTCCCTCTCTTCTTCCCTCCCTTCCCCTCTCTAAAAATAAATTTTTTAAAACTTATCAAAATTGGTAAATTTTGTGTAGCCATTTTAATATTGAAGATGGGAGAAAATACGCAACATTTTTGGTATATTATGCTTTATTATTTTTTTTTCTTCTTGTGTTTTTAGATTTTATTTATTTATATTCAGGCAGAGGGGAAGGGAGGAAGAGAGAGGGAGAGAAACATTGATCAGTTGCCTCTCACACGCCCCCAGCTGGGTACCTGGCTTGCAACCTAGGTGTGTACCCTGACTGGGAATTGAACTGGTTACCTTTTGATTCATAGGATGATGCTCAATCCCTTGAGCCACACAAGCCAGGGCACTTTATTATTTCAAGAAAGGTAAGAAAATGCAAGTGAAATGCAAAAAAAAAGAAAAAAGAAAAAGATTTGTACTGTGTATGGAGAAGGTACTGTGATTGATTCAATATGTCAAAAGTGGTTTGTGAAGTTTCGTGCTGAAGGTTTCTCAATGGATGATGCTCTAATCAGGTAAACCAGTTGAAGTTGATAGTGATCAAACCATTGAGAACAATCAATGTTATACCATTTGGGAGATGGCCAACGTACTCAAAATATCCAAATCAATGAAGTTATTGGTGAAAATGAAAAATGTCTTTTATTTTACCAAAAACTCAGACTTTTTGGCCAATCCTATATGTCTGTGGGCAGAGTGACTGTTCTGTGGTAAGCCATAATAAAGGGTCCCACTGGAGGGGGCAGGCTCTGCCCTAGAGTGGGGGGTGGGGGCTAGAGCAGTTGGGTGGGACAGAAAAGGAGAGAAGAGGAAGAGTTCTCGGACCATCGAAGTCCCCCAGTGCCAACCCACTCTGGCCTACTCTCTGCCCCACAGAGAAAGACCCCAAGCTGGAGATCCGCTATCGGCACAAGAAATCACGGGAACGGGACAGCAATGAGCGAGACGGCAGTGAGCCCCGGGATGAGGGTGGAGGGCGCAAGAGGCCTGCCCCGGATCCAGACCTGCAGCGCCGGGCGGGGTCAGGGACAGGGGTTGGGGCCATGCTTGCTCGGGGCTCTGCTTCGCCCCACAAATCCTCTCCACAGCCCTTGGTGGCCACACCCAGCCAGGTGAGTGGCTGCGGTGGCTGGGATAGGCAAGGTGATCCCATCTCGGGCCCTACTTGGGTTCTTGATTTGTGTTCCGGGCACCTTCCCTCAGCATCACCAGCAGCAGCAGCAGATCAAACGGTCAGCCCGCATGTGCGGCGAGTGTGAGGCCTGCCGGCGCACAGAGGACTGTGGCCACTGCGACTTTTGCCGGGACATGAAGAAGTTTGGGGGCCCCAACAAGATCCGGCAGAAGTGCCGGCTGCGTCAGTGCCAGCTACGGGCCCGGGTGAGCATGGGCAGAGCAGGGCAGGGTCAAATTAGGGGGCCATTGTGTTCCGGGAGAGCTGATTGAGGCTAGGATTGGTGGGCCAGGTGGGATGGGGCCTGATTGCATACAGGTAGGTGGAAAGGCACCTGGCCTGTCCGGATGAATGGCGCATGACCAGATGTGCCAGGCTAGCAGGGGAGCCCCCCAACCTCAGACTGACAGTGTAGGGCTAGGTGTTTCTAGGGAGTCAGGTGTGTCAGGGCAGGTAGGGCAGGGCTGAGCACATCTGGCTATCAGGGATGGGGGGTGCAGATGTGCCCGGGGAGGCAAGGTAGGGCTAGTTGGTGGGGCTGGGCACCCTCCATCTACCTGGGGCTGACTTGGGCCTTCCTCCTGCTGGCACAGGAATCGTACAAGTACTTCCCTTCCTCGGTGAGTCCAGCCTTCCAGGTGGGGCAGGGCATGTGGGCAGGTTGTTCAGGGCCAGTCCTGAGGTTCTGCCCCGCAGCTCTCGCCAGTGACACCCTCAGAGTCCCTGCCAAGGCCTCGCCGGCCACTGCCCACCCAGCAGCAGCCACAGCCATCACAGAAGCTGGGACGCATTCGTGAGGATGAGGGGGCAGTGGCATCATCAGTAGTCAAGGAGCCGCCTGAGGCTACAGCCACACCTGAGCCACTCTCAGATGAGGACCTACCACTGGACCCTGACCTGTATCAGGACTTCTGTGCAGCGGCCTTTGATGACCACGGCCTGGTGAGCAGGCAGAGCATCCTATGGTGGAAGGGTGGAGGTTACAGAAGCAGAATATCCATAATGAAAAGAGAGGAGGCAGAGGGTATGGAAGGCTAATTTGGGAACTGAGCAGGTGGTGGGGTAGGTCTCGAGTGGGGCAAGTGGGTCAGTGTGTGCCTCACTTGCAGCCCTGGATGAGTGACACAGAGGAGTCCCCATTCCTGGATCCTGCACTGCGAAAGAGGGCAGTTAAAGTGAAGCACGTGAAGCGTCGGGAGAAGAAGTCTGAGAAGAAGGTGATGGAGAGGGTGAAATGGTTGTGGGAAGGCTGAGGGCAGGCAGGGGCTGAATGGGGCTAGAGCCAGAAAGGGGTGGGATCCAGGGGAAGACAGGGGTCTGAGTTGACTTCATCTCCACCCTGTCCTGACCTGCCGTGTCCCATAGAAGGAGGAGAGATACAAACGGCATCGACAGAAGCAGAAGCACAAGGACAAATGGAAACATCCAGAGCGAGCTGATGTCAAGGATCCTGCATCGCTACCACAGTGCCTGGGACCTGGCTGTGTGCGCCCTGCACAGCCCAGCTCCAAGTATTGCTCAGATGACTGTGGCATGAAGCTGGCAGCCAAGTGAGTCATTTTTCAAGGGTTCAAGGGAGTCAGCGAGTAAGGGCTTGACAAGATCCCTCTGTATGTCAGTTAACTGTCCACCGTTCAGTCAAACACACACCTGCCTACCTGTCTACCCGTCCATTCGCCATTGAGTTACTCACCTGCCAATCCACCTACCATTTAGTCACCCGTTTTCTTATCTTTCACCAGTCATCCATCCATTCTGCCATTTTTGGCTCACCCCACTTAATCATCTTGTTGCGTGCCACCTTTCTACCTGCACTCAACCCACTGCTTCCTACAGCCGCATCTACGAGATCCTCCCCCAACGCATCCAGCAGTGGCAGCAGAGCCCCTGCATTGCTGAGGAGCATGGCAAGAAGCTCCTTGAACGCATCCGCCGTGAGCAGCAGAGCGCCCGCACCCGCCTTCAGGAAATGGAGCGCCGATTCCATGAGCTTGAGGCCATTATTGCACGCGCCAAGCAGCAGGCTGTGCGAGAGGACGAGGAGGTAAGCAAGCATGGGCATGGCGGTGCGGGACCCAGTACCCGGTTCTGCCTGGCCGCATCATTCCTTCCATCCCATACAGAGCAATGAGGGTGACAGTGACGACACAGACCTGCAGATCTTCTGCGTCTCCTGTGGGCACCCCATCAACCCACGTGTTGCCTTGCGCCACATGGAGCGCTGCTATGCCAAGGTCAGGGTGTCAACCTGAGAGGGCAGATGGTGTGGGAACATCCTTGGTTCCGTGGGGAACAGATGTGTTGTCTGGGTGCTGTCTTGGGAGGGCATGCAGCACACATCCACAGTTCCCTCCATTTGTGCTCATTCTTCCAGTATGAGAGCCAGACGTCCTTTGGGTCCATGTACCCCACACGCATTGAAGGGTGAGTGTGGGCAATGCAGAGTTAGAGCAGGGAGGTTAAGGCTAGGGTCAGAAGTAGAATGTTGGGGCACGGTATCGTGCTGGGCAAGGATAGGTGGGCCCCCATCCATCTCTCCCTCCACTACCCCCTCTTTACTTCAAACCCCTAGGGCCACACGACTCTTCTGTGATGTCTACAACCCTCAGAGCAAGACATACTGTAAGCGGCTCCAGGTGTTGTGTCCAGAGCACTCACGGGACCCCAAAGTAAGGTTTTTCCTCGATTGCCCACATTCTGTCACTCCTCCCTTCCTCACTGCCCCACATTTACTCCTTTCTTTCCCCCTTTCCTCCTTCCTTTCCTTTTCCTACCTGACCACTTTCCTATCTCCCACATTCCCTGCCTTATCACCCTTTTTCCTTTCTCCTCACCTATTCCTCCTTTCCCTGCCTCTTTATCCTCTATTCCTCCCCTTTTCCACTGACCCCTGAACTCTCCATTCCTTCCCTCCTTTCTCCCTTCATAATTCCTTTTTCCCTTGGAGAGTGGGAGGGAGAGGGAGACATTATGAGACATCTATCAGTTGACTCTTGTGTGCACCCTAACTGGGGACTGAACCTGCAATCTAGGCACATCCCTTGATGAAGAATCCAACCCACAACCCTTGGGTTTATCGGATGATGCTCCAGCCAACTGATCCACACTGGCCAGGGCCCCCTCCCCACTCTTATCTTCCTTCCTGCCTTACCACACCCCATTAATCCCCAGTGCCCTCTCCCTGCAGGTGCCAGCTGATGAGGTATGCGGATGCCCCCTTGTGCGTGATGTTTTTGAGCTCACAGGTGAATTCTGCCGCCTGCCCAAGCGCCAGTGCAACCGCCATTACTGTTGGGAGAAGTTGCGGCGGGCCGAAGTGGACTTGGAGCGTGTGCGCGTGGTAGGTTTCGACGCTCGATGAGGCCAGGGTGAGGCAGGTCGTCCAGCGCTCCATCTCATGGCTCCTTCTGCTCCCCTGGCAGTGGTACAAGCTGGATGAGCTGTTTGAGCAGGAGCGCAATGTACGCACAGCCATGACAAACCGGGCAGGATTACTAGCCCTGATGCTGCACCAAACCATCCAGCATGACCCACTCACCACCGACCTGCGCTCCAGTGCTGACCGCTGAGCATCGCTGGCTCAGACATCCTCATGCCCTGCGTTCCCCCATTTGTCTTTCTCCAATGGTCCCTCAGTTTCTCATTGTGCCCATCCACCATTTGACTGCCCATCTGCCTTTACCAGATGGTCTCAAAATGTCCTCCTGTCTCTGTCTAGCCTTCTGTTTCTCCATCCTCTGTGCCCGGGTGGAATGGTGCGGTCTGCTCACCCTTGCTTCCTTTCTTCCTGGTTTTGTTAATAAAATTTTGAAGAACCAAACTTTGGTCTCCAAATTTTATCCAGTTGCATCTGAACTCTCCAACCCCTGGGGCAGAAGGGCCAGTGCATGCGTAGGCTGTGAGCATACACAGCTGGCACCCGCATACACAGCCGGTTCCCGCCGTGGGCTGTGGGGATATGACGTGCTGCGGGAGCGCCCAAGGATGTACATTCACAGCCTCATTTTGAGTCAGCGCTCACGGAGTGTGGCTAATTTACCACCCCTGTGTGAGCGCTGATGTTCTCCAGACCAGAGGTGTGTTCAACGATGGGCACAAGGCCCCCTCTTTCCTCACAAACCCCTCTTTTGGGTCGCGTATGCAGCGGGGCCCCACTGACTTCGTGCCGGGACTTCACTGGGCCTTCTGTGGTTGTCTAGTCCAGAGACGGGCGCGCCCTCAGGGGTTGGTTGCGCCGACCTGGCCTGTTTACTTCCAGCGCGGCACCGCCCCCTTCCCCAGTTCCCGCGGAAGGAGCGGGGGCCAGCGCGCGCCGCCAACTGTCTCCGCGCGCTCTGCAACTGTGCAGCGGGGTGCAGAGAGCGGGACACAATAGTCCCGGGGAAGAGTCGCCGCAGCGGCTAGCGAGCACAGGCGCGACCGAGGCGAGAGGTGGGAAAGGCGGGCTCCGGCACAGCCCCAGTCTTCGTCGCCCCGACTCCCGATTACTCCTCGTGGAAACCGCCTAGGCAACGGTGAACGCAGGGCCAACCCCAACCCTCCACGCCCACTTCGGTTGGGACGGGAGAGCGCAGGCGCAAACGAGGTGGGCGGAGCGGCGGGAACGCGCTGCGGGTGAAGTGAGAAGCGCAGGGGCTGCGGGTCTCCCAAAGGGACGCGAGGATATTTGGGCTTCAGCGCGCAAGCGCAGCAGGTCCCGGCAAGGGGCGCGCGCCGCTGCGGTACGCAGTACGCAGGCGCGGGGTCCTCCCTATTAAGGGCAAGCACAAACCGGGCATTAGTGCGCAGGCGTCTCTTTAGGAGCGGAACCCTGGGGGCGGGCCCCGGATTTCCGGTTACGGGTGCAACGAACGGCCGCGGCGGCGACAGCTACCGCTTGAGCGGCTGCAGAGGAGGAAGAAGAGGAGCGGGGCAAGGCGGGAGTCACAGGCGGGACCCTCGTCATGGGGCCGCGGACCTAGAGCTACGAAAGCTACCGGCCCGGTGCCGAGCTGGTGAGACAGTCGTGGGGGTGGAAGTGGAGAGCGCTTAGGCGGAGGATGGGGAAGAAGTGAGGCTCAGAGCGGTGACGGAGAGGGCCCTCAGGCCGACGAGTGGGAGGAATGGCGGCGTCGGAATATTGAACGGGACGAATGGGGAGATTTAGGCGGAGGACGGAAAGGAATGGGGCTCAGAACGCTGACAGTGGAAGTGTCGGAATCGTGGGCGAGGACTTAGAGGAATGAGGGAGGATCTGAATGCTGAGGGGAGACATCGGGACCTCTTCGGTTAAGGAGAGACAAATGGATGTTCAGAACCTGAGGGGGATAAATGAGGGCCTCTCAGGCAGATGACGGAGAAAAAATGGGGGCGTTGGGATGCCGAAAGGGAGGGACGGGGTCTCTTATGGAGGACGAGGAGAAATAGGGTGTCACAACACCGACAGGGGATGGCATGGTCCCGGGATAAGGACAGAGAGGAATGGGGGGTTTAGAATACTGAGGGAAGAAATCGGTCTTCGGGCTGATGAGGGCAGTGGAGGATGAGGACTCTGAGGGGAAAGAGCGAGAGAACTTTTAGCTGCAGAGGAGAACAGTAGGGAGGTCCTGGGCCTGAAATTGGGGAGGAATTGTGGCTCAGAACACTGACAGAAAATAAGGCGGGAGGATATCAGGCTGAGGAACAGACGGAATAAGGAGCTGTTCAGGCCGGGGACGGACGGGAGGCGTGGACTCTGGTAGAGAACACACAGTAAATCGAGGCAACACTGTGGTAGCACGGTAAGAAGGCATCGTACAGGGAAGGAACGGGAGGGTTAGAAGACTGAAAGAGAGAAATTGGGAACTCCTGGGTAAAGGAAGGGAGCAAATGGGCGTCAGAGCACTGACATGCAGTGCTGGGACCTTAGCCTGAGGATGAGAGGAATGGAGGCCTCTTGAGCTGAGTGTGGGGAGTGTGGAGGTCTCAGGGTGGCAAAGGGGAGGAATAGGGAGCCAGTAAGTCAAAGGCAGAATGTCTTCTGGGCCAAGGGCAGAGAGAAAGGAAGAGGAAGAATGAAAGGTTCCTAGGTTGGTAGTGGGGAGAAAGGATGGGCTTTCAGGCTGCGGATGGGGAGGAACAGGGGATCAGGACACTGAGAGTGAGGAAGGAGAATCCTTGGGTTGAGAATGGGGCTACCTCCTTTCAGGTCAAGAGGATGGGGAATGTCAAGCTCCTGGGCCCAAAACAGGGAAGAACTAGTGAGAGTGGGGGCTTTCTCTTATATTGGCCAGTTGCCTATAGCAGGTCCCAGGTCTTGGACAAGTATTAATAGATAGCAGTTTGTGTGGCCAGGGGCACACATGTCACCTATAGCCTCAGTTTCTCCTATTTTCCCTCTATGTTGCAGGCTGCTGCTCCTTCCCGTGTCCCCCATGGCTGAGGAGTGGCTGGACTGCCCAGCCCTGGGCCCCGGCTGGAAACGCCGTGAGGTTTTTCGCAAGTCAGGTGCTACCTGTGGACGCTCAGACACCTATTACCAGAGGTACTGGGTGGGTTGTGGACAGAGTCAGGGGTTGGGCTGAGCCCGCTTAGGAAGAGTGAAATCGAGGTGTGTGTGTGTGTGTGTGTGTGTAAATTTATGAGTGGGGATAAAGTAAAATTAGGTATATACATTTGATCCTCATTATTTGCATATTCCATATTTGCAAATTTGCCTACTCCCTAAAATGTGTTTGTATCCCCAAAGTCATTACTCAGCTGTGCTTTCATGATCATTTGTGGACATGCACAGAGCAGCAAAAAAATTTAAGACGACTGATGCACGTGTCTCCAGGTAGAACAAGGCCTCCTTATTTCAGCACTTGTACTGTAAACAAGTCCTTTTCACGGTCTACTTAGCGTTGTGTTTTTTGAATTCTTGTGCTGCTTGCAATGGCCCCCAAGCATAGTGCTAAAGTGCTATTTACAGTTGTAAGTGTAAGAAGTCTGTGGTGTGCCATAGGAGAAGATACATGTTAAATAAATTTTGTTCAGGTGTGGGTTGCAGTGCTGTTGGCTGTGCATTCAATATCCGTGAATAGAAAATGTGGTACATCTAGAAAAAGAAGGAAATCTGCCAATTTGCACACGAGGCTGCTCTAGAAAGTGCCAAAGTAACATGTATAGTATGTGATGAACCTAAGGTGGGAAAAGGTGGGAAACTGGCTAAATTTGTGTATCAATGAGATGGTGACTAATAAAAGTGTAGTGTACAGCATTATGAGGCTGAAAGCTAAGGACATTGACAGTTGCGTTACCCAGGTTTAGGAAAATGTCAAACCTGTCCCACACTTTTCCAAAGGTGATATGTTGTGAAAAATGTTAAATTTGCATGCAAGGCAGGTTCTGCAGATTAGGAGTCTGTGGAAGATTTTAAAAAATACCTGCTAAGTGTTATATGGGAAAACAGGTATGTAGAAGAATAGATTTTCAATGCTGATGAGACTGACTTGTTCTACAGTGACATTGGCAAAGAAATCTATATAATGCAGAGAGACTCCAAAGCTTCTGGCTTTACGTCATTCAAAGACCATGCAGTTAATTATTTGTAAGAGGATTATGTTAAGTGGGGTCTCTTTAAACAGAAACACACATAAAACAAGGTTACATAGGGTCAATTTACAAAAATGTTGTGATCTGAGGCTCGTAGGAACCCAACCTGTAGTTCCACTAGGAGCATTGGTTCTGTATTCACTGATTCAGTGTTAAAGATGAATTTATAACTATCATAAATAATGAAATTTGACTATAGTACATAAATATATGTTTATAAATAATTTACACTTAAGAATTTAAGGTATTTCGAGATATATTAGTGATGTACTAGTTATTAAATTTTCTATACTCTTCCTGAACTTTGTCTAAGTTGCTATTTTCCTGGAAGAATATAATAAAATTACAAATATAATTACATTATTCATATGTAGTTGTACTTTTATTCACGTATTCATAATATATAAAACCGCCTTAGCTGGTGTGGCTCAGTGGATTGAGTGCCAGCCTGCAAACCAAAGGGTCGCTGGGTCAATTCCCAGTCAGGGCACATGCCTGAGTTGTGGGCCAGGTTCCTAGCAGGGGGCATGTGAGAGGCAACCTCACATTGATGTTTCTCTCCCTCTCTTTCTCCCTCCCTCTCCCTCTCTAAAAAATAAATAAAATCTTTTAAAAAATAAAAAAGACTTACTGGTGTTGCTCAGTTGGTTGGAGAGTCTTCCTGTAAACTGAAAGACTGTGGGTTCAGTCTCAGGTCAGGGTGCATACCTCCATTATGGGTTCAATCCCCAGTCGGGTTGGGGTGCATACAGGAAGCAGCCAATCGATGTTCCTCACATCAATGTTTCTTTTTCTCTCTCCCCGCTTCCCTTCCTCTCTTGTCTAAAAGCAATGAAAAAAAAAATCCTCACGTGAGAATAAAAAAAAAAAACACCTTTCAACATTTATAAATGTAAGTGTAATCATCAAGAACTGTAGAGGATTAGAGATTTTACCCTAATTAGGTCAGGATAACAAGTGGGTATGTCACAGTATTTTGGATGTTGGTAGGAGATACGAGATTCCTGGATCAAAGATTTTCGAAAGAGTTTATTATTCATACCAATAGCAGTATCCAGAATGACATGATTTTCATGCTGGTTCCCTGATTAGCAGTTCCCACAGGGGTGACATGAAGAGGGCTAACTAGCACCTGCACATGCTCTGGGTTATGTTGTAGGAAGGGAACCCTGAGTCCCGCCCCCCCCCCCTTTTTAAAATTAAATTTATTAGGATGACATTAATTAATATGGCCATATAGGTTTCAGGTGTACATTTGTATGCCTACCACCCAAAGTCAAATCATCTGTCACAGTATATTTGGAATCCAGTCTTTAAAATGTTTAGGACAGTAAGGATGCCTTCCCTTTGCTCTAGAAAGAGACCCTTTGTCTTATCTTCCAAGGTTTTTTGCTGTACAAACATCCTTGAAAAGATAGTTAATTGCAAAGGACAGTTCATGCCTTCTTGTAGGACATGGAGAAATGCAAGAGACCTGTTGAGTATTGTGTTCTAACATCAGTTGCTTAACACTTATTTTTCATGTAGTGTTTATTTGTTTACACATCTATTTGTATGTGTACCTCTACATACATTTCTACATGTATCTTTTTAAATATGTTTTTTTACGTAAGTTTTCTTGGACGTTTAGTATGTAAGCTAATACATTTATGTGTTATTTAATGTGTTTGTTTCTATTTGTTTACTTCACTTATATAGAATACCACTAGTAATGTATATTATGAATACACACATTCATCTGCATTTATATTACTTATCAATGTTTGTATAACTGTTGGTATTTATACATCTTTAATATTTTTGTCATTCAGGGTTAGTTGGGGTAGGGCCTGGTCAGGCAGGTCCCAGGCTACTTTTTGTATTCCACCAGCCCTGCAGGCCTGTTGACCTCCCAGTGGGAGGGTTGTATGGGTGGAGCGGCAGTGGTTCCACCTGCCTACCAACCCTTCCTGGCCCACCCCCAGCCCCACAGGAGACAGGATCCGAAGCAAAGTTGAGCTGACCCGATACCTGGGCCCTGCGTGCGACCTCTCCCTCTTCGACTTCAAACAAGGCATCCTGTGCCACCCAACTCCAAAGGTACTATGCAGTATGGGGTACTCAGATGCAGGGGTGGCTGAGCCACCTAACGCCCGCCCACTGACCTACATTCTTCCTTGCCTTGCTCTCATCTCCAGGCCCATTCTGAGGCTCTCCCCAGCAGGAAGCGCAAGAAGGCTTCAAAGCCAGTTAAAGCTGGGAAATGTCAGGTTGGACCCCAGAAAGTTGAGGTCAGAAAGGAGGCCCCAAGGGAAGAGACCAAGGCTGATGCTGACACAGCCCCAGCTTCGCTCCCTGCGCCTGGGTGAGTTTTGGCCTAAAGTGAGTCAAGTGGGTGATGGTTGTAGTTGGGGGTGCACTCAGGGACCCCCACTTATTTCTCCTACGCCAGGTACTGTGAGAATTGTGGAATCAGCTTCTCAGGGGATGGCACTCGAAGGCAGCGGCTCAAGACATTGTGCAAGGACTGCCGAGGTGAGTGGCCCCTAGGACACTGGGAAATAGGAGCTGGAACAGGTCCGTTATTGGACTGGAGGTTGAATGATGGATGTCAGGGCAGAGGCATTGGATAAGGTCAGAGATCTGATGCTCCCTTTCCACTTTTCTTCTTACCTCTCTTTCCCCCCAGCGCAGAGAATTGCTTTCAACCGGGAACAGAGGATGTTTAAGGTAAGCATGACCTGCCATCCTCTTCACAAGTGTTTGGTGGGAGCAAGATGTGATGGGAGCTAGTGGAGTGTCTGAAGGGATGGTGATGGATCCACAGGGTGTCAGTCATTTTGTAGGGAGCTAGCCACAGTCAGCAGACTGTAATGGGAGGTAATGAGGTGTTAGTAGACACAGTGATGAGGTTAACAGGAACAGTAGACGACGTGGTGGCCTCAGTGATGGTGGCTAATCAATAATTATCAGATACAGTGATGAGGCAAATGGGGACTAGCAGACATGGTGGTGGGAGCTAAGGTAGGGTCAGCAGACACTTGAGGGGCAGTGCCCCTGGAGTCACTCTGCTTGGGCATGTGACCTTGCCCCACCCATTCCTGGCAGCGTGTGGGCTGCGGAGAGTGTTCAGCCTGCCGGGTAACCGAGGACTGCGGGGCTTGCTCCACCTGCCTTCTGCAGCTGCCCCATGATGTGGCCTCGGGGCTGTTCTGCAAGTGTGAGCAGAGACGGTGCCTGAGGATTGTGGAAAAGGTGAGTTGGGCAGGTGGGGTGGGCCCAAGTTATCCCTACCCCCTGGCCCTTAGAGCCCTGGCCCTGTGCATCATGCCTCTGGCCCCCCCACAGAGCCGAGGGTGTGGAGTATGCCGGGGCTGTCAGACCCGAGAGGACTGTGGCCATTGCCGAGTCTGCCTTCGCCCTCCCCGCCCTGGTCTCAGGCGCCAGTGGAGGTGCGTCCAGCGGCGCTGCCTACGAGTGAGTCAGGCTGGAGGGGCCGGTGCTGGTGGGGCCAGGGCTGGGGCAGAGCTCATTCTTCTGTTAAACTTGCTGCTGCTGCTGCTTCCTTTCAACTGGCCTTGCCCACCTCATGTCTTCTTTTCTCCTTCACTCCACTCTCACCTCCCTGGCCCCACCTACCTGCTCCTGTCTGCCAGCATCTTGCCCACCGCCTGCGTCGCCACCATCAGCGATGTCAACGACGCCCTCCCCTAGCTGTGGCTCCCCCTGCTGTGAGTGCCCCATCCCACACTCTGCCTGTCTGTCCCGTGCATGCTTTCTGCATTCCTGGGCGGGGGGTGGCGGGGGGGTCCTGTGTCTGCCTGGTGCCACCAAGCATAAACTAAACCATCTTGTTGGCTTTCTCCTAGGGTAAGAAACGTAGCCGCCGCAGGGGAGGCTGCGACTCAAAGATGACTGCCCGGCGGCGCCCCCGAACCCAGCCACTGCCTCCGCTTCCCCCATCGCAGCCTCCAGAGTCCCCAGAGCTGGTGAGGCCCTGGAGGGCAGGGGGAAGGCACAACCCTAATCTTACCCAGTACCTACCCTGACCCCACCCCATTTGCCTCTGCAGCACCCCAGAGCCCTGGGCCCCTCGCCACCTGCCGAGTTCATCTATTACTGTGTAGACGAGGACGAGCTAGTGAGTGGCCCCATCTTACCTGGACAAGTCTAGACTCTCCCAGGGCACTTGGTTAAGCCCAAAGAAGCACATGCTGCACTGGGCCTAATAGGGGAACAGGAAGGGACAGTATGGGTACTAGTATGGGATGAGCAGACAGTTGGGGAGGGACTAATATGGGATCAACAGGTGCACTGATAGTACCTAATGTCAGAGGAAGCAATCTTCTGGTGGGGCTAAACGAGGAAAAGCAGACACAGTTAGCAGAGTTGACATAGGAAGACTAGACATAGCATATATGGTGATAGGAACTGAGAGAGTTACCAAAATCCTGCTGGAGGTGGGAAGATCAAAGATATTGTCTTGGTAGCTAGTGGGGGCTAGCAGATAGAGAGATGGGTACTGTGTTGGAGCAGCCACAATACTAATGGAATTGAGAGCTACCTGGTACAGGTAGTGCCTGATGTAGGACTAGCACACACTGAGGTGTGACTAATGGGAGTCAGGCTAAGGCTACTGTGCAACCAGTTCCTTCCCACGGGGCTAGTGGAGAAGCAACAGGAACAGTACTGTAATTGTCCTAGTGACAGTACCTCTACACTCCCTTCCCTGTCCCCCAGCAGCCTTACACAAACCGCCGGCAGAACCGAAAGTGTGGGGCCTGTGCAGCCTGCCTGCGGCGGATGGACTGTGGCCACTGTGACTTCTGCTGCGACAAACCCAAATTCGGTGGCAGCAACCAGAAACGCCAGAAGTGTCGTTGGCGCCAGTGCCTGCAGTTTGCCATGGTAGGTGGGGCAGGAAGGGTCAGATGGGCAAGATAGGTTGGGCCAGGTTCCTTGGTACCTGGGAGTGATGGACAGACCTGGTATGTAGGTGTGTCAGGCCAGATGGGTCCTGCAGCTTCAGAGGGGAGCATGGGGCAGAGGGTTTGGTTAAGGATTAGCAGACTTTATGCCAGGATAAATGAGGAATCTGGGTGGCATTGGTAACAGGAGACTCGCAAGCTCAGCGATGAGGGGTTCATAGGTAAGCAGATTCTGTGACGTTACTGATGGGATCAGCAGGCATGTTGGTCAGGTCCGGGTGGTATGATCAGGTCATTGCATCAGGTGGCCATAACACCCCCCTTTCCTCACAGAAGCGCCTGCTGCCAAGTGTCTGGGCAGGGCCCGAGGATGGGGCAGGGTCGCCCCCACCTTACCCTCGTCGAAAGAGGCCTGGATCTACTCGACGGCCCCATCTGGGCCACACCCTGAAGCATCCCTTGGGCACTCCCACAGCCCGACGAGACCTTGCCCAGACTCCAATGAAGCAGGAAGCAGGCAGCGGCTTTGTGTTGCCCCCACCTGGCACTGACCTTGTGTTCTTACGGGAGGGTGCAACCAGTCCTGTGCAGGTGCCTCGCCCTACCCCAACTTCCACCGAACCCCTCTTGCAGGTGAGGGCTCCACCTTATCCTGCCCGTCCCAACCCTGCCCAGCCTTGTTCCAGGAAGCTGGGACCAAGTCTGCCGCCATCCTCCTTCACACAGGAGGCCCAACGCCCTGGCCTGAGTTGGGTTGTGGCCTTACCCCAGGTGAAGCAAGAGAAGGCGGATGCCCAGGAAGACTGGACACCGGGCACAGCCATCCTGACTCCTGTATTGCTGCCTGGCTGCCCCAGCAAGGTGGGGGTCAGTGATGGGTGATCTGTGAGCAGAGTGATGGTGAGCCATGATGATGGTTCTTTGCACAGAGCAATAGGTGTGCTGATTGCAGCTTCTTTGCAAAATTACCCTGCCTTCCCCAGGCAACTAGCTTTGCCTGCTTTGCTGCCCAGCTAACAGAAAAATGGAAATCTGTGAGGAATGGGATGGTTTTTCTGTGCTGAAGTGTGATGGAAGTGGGATTTATCAGCACAGTGGCAGGTTGGCCTATAGAGACTCTTTCCTCAGGCCAGCCCTGCCTTTCTGACTGTTGCTCATTTCCCACCTCTCCCAGGCAGTAGACCAAGGCCTGCCACTTGTGAAGCAAGAGCCACCTGACCCTGAGGAGGACAAGGAGAAGAGCAAGGATGATTCAGCCTCTGATTCGGCCCCAGAGGAGGAAGGAGGGGCTGGCACGCCAGTGGTCAGTGCTGGGGGACACCGTACCCTGCCCTGACCCAGCTTAACCTCACCAGCCATGTTGACCCATGATGTTAATTCTTCCCCAGATCACGGAGATTTTCAGCCTGGGTGGAAACCGCCTCCGGGATACAGCAGTCTGGTTGCCAAGGTGTGCCCCGTATAGTGAGGGGTGGGGATGGGGTGGGTGCCGGTCAGATGTGGGCCTGGAGTTTTGAAAGTACAGCCAATATTTTGCCATGTGCAGTGGGAGGTAAAGGCCCGACACCACTGCACTGATCATGATCTTTGAGGAGGCAGACCCCTAGAGATTTCCTGAGGTCCAGGTCAGGGCCAGCCTGGGGGAGGGGAGTGGCAGTAAGCAGAGAGGACTTGGTGCCCTGTGATGAGATTAGAAAGAAAAAATGCAGGAAAGCCTGGTTCCTAAGAAAAACCGACAGGGGTCAGACTTAAAATTTTTACTCAGAGATTCATCATTTGGGGTCTTCAATGCATTTAGTGTCTCCTAGAGATGACCATGTGGGCCCAGCAGTGGCAAATGGGCAGGAGATCTGGCTCCACATGCTACTGTGTGATCTTGAACTAGTTCTGCACCTCCTAGAGCATCCTCTATGGAGGGGGTTAGGCCATTTTTCTTGAGCCTTTCCTGGGCCTGTTGTGGTTATTAACAGTTTCAGCTGCTGTGCAGAACTGTCCCTGCAGGCCTGGCAAGAGGACAAAGGATAGGTGCCTGTAAGGACTGGGATAGTGGGTGAGGACAGGGAGTGCTGCTTCCTGCAGAATGTTAACAGGCCCTGCACAGAGCCCTAGACACAGGCAACCTAAACAGTTGACCACAGCACCTGGGTTCCTTTGTTCCTACAAACTAGTTTCTACAGACCAGAAATCCCTCTATCTGCACTTGGGCAATTACAGAGCTACTGATTTAGTTTCTGCTGGATACATTGCAGCGTGGGAGATACAGCAGTGAATACAGTGATCATGGGAGGCTTATCCTTCAGGAGACACAGGATTCCTGCCTTCAGGGAGTTTATAATCTAACTGGGGAAAACTTTCCTTGTGCATGAAATCATTACATATAATGGAGAAGGTAATGATGTGCTGTATTGTTGGTAATGGAAGATATTAGAAGAGAGAAGAGAGAGGAGGAATAATTAAGGGGAAGCGGATGGCCAACACAATAGTAGGAAATGGTTTTGTGATGCTCCATTTTGTACGTAGCAAACCTCATTCAACATACAGACCTGCTCCCTCTTCTCTAGGTCCAAGGGCCTTAAAAAACCTGGAACTAGAAAGCAGTAGACTGGAGGCTTCTGCAGACTGTAGGATTCAAGGTGAAATTTACAGACCGGCTTTATGAGAGACAACACTGATCCATCTACTCAGAGGCTGGACCATAGAGCGATTGCCAGGGCTTGTGTAGAAGTCAGTAGGAACCGGAAAAACCTACCACCAAACCAGAGGAGCAGGGCTGTTCAGTCCTTTGAGCTTATAGAGGAAGTAAGCAAGAAAGGAAGAGAGAGTAGAAAGTTGGTGCATCTGCTCCAGCTGGTGCAAATCCCAGAAGCCTGAGAAATAAGTTTGGATATTAGGGGTGGAGGAGCTGGGGTTGGGGTTGGGGGATAGAATTAGAACCACCATAAAACAACCTAAACAAGCCATCTTCATAAATATTAAGTGGCTTCTGGGTGAGACCTGGCAGTGTCTCTAAACATTTCCTCAGGGAAACAGCAATTGAAAATGTAATGTGAATAAATAAGGAAAGGAACTGCAATTTGGTGAGTTCTTCCTTATGGACCCAGTTTATTTCTCAGAATGGTCTTTTTAGGAAGACATCGATTTTGCCCATTTTTGCAGATGGAAAAACAGACTCAGAAATTAAATAACTTGTCCGATTTCAGACAGTTAGTATTGAGCCTAGAATCAAACCAGGTTGTAAAGTCCTTGTTCTTTAAGTCATTAACCTGTAAACTGTAATCCCAAGTTCAATGATGTAATAATATAGTAACAGAAGTTTCCAGCGACTCTGAAAACAAGGTGGATTAATTTAAGCATTATAGCAAATCCCTTACACTGCTGTCTCTAGCGTGGTTTAGGGAGTACCATGGCTGTGTGAATGGGGTCACCTTCTCAGAGCACCTGTGCATCCAGAAACTGGGTTCTTTCCAGGACTCTGGTGTTGCATAGGATTGTTCAAACCCTAAAGGGCATCCTTCCCCATTGGTTGCTGTCCATTTGGTTTGTTTCCCTTACTCCTCCTCCTCAGCCAAAGTATTCTTTTGAAGTAAAGCTGCCAGCCTGGCTCGTCTTTCTTGACAACTTGCGTCCCCTGCCCCTTGACATTTGTGCTTGGTTTCTGCTCTCAGCCTCTGTCTCCGAGGAGCTTTAGGTCCTGTCAAAGGGCAAGTTTTGGCTCAGCCCTGCATCACTTTCCAATACTTTGCATAGTACTAAAGTGATCAGACATGTGGTTCATTACTTTCCAGCTTTATAGGCTGGGACTGAGTGTATGCCCCCTTAAATTTTGTAGTTTATGTCCCTCCCTTGCCTTATTCCAGTTCCAGCCCTGCAGCTTTAGATAATTCAGAAATAGATTAATCATTCCCCTACCTTAACTCATGACACAGTCCTCTGTCCCTTCCTTTGCCTGTTCCTACCTACTTCAGCCAGAGTCCACTGGATAATTTTCTGCTATTTTGCTCCCCCCAGGATCCAACCACCGAACCCTAGTATTCTGATAATTTTGGCAACGATGTCCTAAGTGAAATTATTTGATTGGTATTCTGACTGATGAGATAAGAGTCTGGTTACCATGTGTATCAGGGTACAATTAGAAAAGCAGCACCACTAATATAAAGATTTTATATATATGTATGTATGTATATTTATATATATGTATATATGTATATTGTTTTACGGGATTTATTATAGGGATTTCACTATATGCAATTGTGGGAGCTGGTTAAACAGTCTCTGTAAGGCTGTCGTCTTTGCATCTACCTAATGCTGGAGCTTGAAGTCTGTAGGGCAGGCAGTTGGGAAGGGAACATGGATATAAAATGTGGGAGACCGAGGACACATTGGCGCCCACAAGCAGAAGCTGGACCCCCCTCAGATGTCCTGGAACCCATGTCACTGTCTCATCACTTCCAACTTCGATGATGTGGGTGTCCTGCAGAAGAAGCTGGTGCCTTTCACCAGAGCTAAATATGCATCTGGCCTAAGAATTTGAGAAGCTGAAGGAAGATCCTGGGGAAGGTGGGGCAGCTGCAGACCAGGCTGCTGACCAACACCTAGAAGGTGAGCCAGCAGATAAATGACAACGTGTGAACTGCAAAAGTGCCTGGTGACCCTGTACCACCCTTCTAAGTGTAAAAACAACATACTACTGCTTCACTTCTGCCCTCCAGTTAGCACATAAAATGTTTCTTGTGGCTCATCCTAACTGGAAGCATACAGGGAAGGGAGTTCTGGGAAACATAAGACTAGTCAAGGTGACACATCACAAAACAACCCTGCATGAATCAGCTCCCAAAGGGTCTCACTACTCACCTGAGGATAACTTGATAAAGCTACAATGGAAAGTGGAAGACCATGGATTTCATGGTGACCCCAGCAAATACCGAAATGTCAAGCCCACCAAGTAAAAACACAGGTCTCAGCTCTGTCATGCAAGTATTGAGAACTGGCCCATCGTAGGCTCTAAACTTAATACGGGGGTACAGGAATGAAAAAGATACAGGCCATGCAATTTTATTAAATACATCAATATGTATTAGAAATGGTGAACGGATTTCCAACTTCAATGGAATTTAATGGTGAAAATAGAATATTCAGGAAACCAGCAGGAGGACAGCCCTTGTGTGAACCTTGTTGGGGCGTAATAGGAACTGGACATAATATAGCCTCTGTCTCTAAGCTGTTTAATTTTAAAATTATTTTTAAATGATTTTTATTGTCCCATTTACTGATTCATACATTCAGTGTTTCTTGGGAATGTCTTGATGACGTTAACAGTGTTGACTGCCTCGGAGAAAGTGGAGTAGTGGGTGGCAAGATAAAGATCAGGTTCTGTCCAAGGACTTCGGGCAAATCACTTGCCAAGTGACAAGCCTACCCCCTCTGCCCTCCGAAGAGGCCCGCCAGGGGACATGGGGGCCATGGTCATCTCACCTGGGCTCAGAAAACCCTGCCCCCCATTCCTGGTCTGGGCAGTCCAGGGCCATGGCCTCCACTGAGCCTAAGGGAAATCGACACCCTTGCTTTAGATAGTGATTAAAACAGGCAAAACCAAACCGGAGTAAAATTACGGGGCTTGCCCAGGGTGAGGGCACAGCACAACAAGCTCTGGACCAACACTGGGGACGATCGAGGGCAGTCGGGTATTCTCCAGGGGCAGCTTCCACTGTTGCTGAAACTCAACGGGACCCTCCAGGTTGTACAACCTCAGGGGTGTCCTACAGGTGTCCCTGAATCTCAGCGGCTTTTCCCAAATGCCAATGCCTGGCTGAGGGTGTTTTCATTACCTCCCTTTCCCAAGGGTGTGGTGGTGGGTGGTTCCACTCAGACCAGCTGGTGGGCCAGGTACCTATGCGACTCGAAGATCAAGAAACTGGCTGGCCCTCCGGATTCCGTCCAGGGAACTGAGACAATTACTTTATGTATTTGTTTCAGGCTACATAAACTTAGCAGTAAATGAAAATGAGTATTTTTACTGAACTGCAATTGAAAGAAGAAGCATTATAGGAGAAAAAATTATTGAAAAGGTTTTTAGAAGAGAAGAAACATTATTTTGTGGCTGAAAAGCCGAACCAGCATTTCAGGAAATGGAGTCCAAATCTAGAAACGTAACATACCCAAAATCCAAAGTGGGTGGATTACAAATGATTAAGGAACGCTAATAATACGGTAAATGGCGACCTTAAGATGGTATACACAACAGTTGTACTTCAGTTGTTATTACATGACAGTGACTGACTAGGTACTGATTTTTTTCAGTGCTCTATACTCACCCCCGCTTTAGAAAAAGTAGCAAAATGTCATTCTTTATTGGCTTTAAGGTATTAACTACCACTTTGCTGTTGACAGGAAGTACAGCAGTGGTCTCCACCTGTGCTGAGGGCCCCTTCTAGGTTCCCTGTCTGGGACCTGGGTTCTCAGGGCCTGATTATCTGCACTTCTGAACCCCATGTCCTGACCCTGTCCACGGTGATCCTTGACTCAGGCTCTTGGTTTTTACTGTGCCCAGCCATTGGTATCACTGCACTACCAGCTATCCCATCTGGTCTGCCCTCGCCACCTTGAAGTGTTCTGAGTCAAAGCCCTGGTTTCTGTCCAGTGCAGTAAAATTTTTATTAACAGATTTATCATTACTGGTTGGGTAGGCTAACAAGGCAGTTTCGCGCTCTCGGCTTTGTCTTAGCTGTAAAGTGAGGACTGTACCTGCAATTCCATTAACCTAAAAGGTATTTGTGAGGCTCAAACATTTTGTGTGAAAATCCCTTGCAAATTACTGTAAAGATTTACAAAAGTGTATAAGGTGGTTTTGTGATGATTTACGTTCTCAAGATTAACCTAGACATGGTCACAAAATTTAATAACCTTTCCACACAATGTCCACTAAACTTTCTCATGCTTTTAGACGGTTTACAGGGATATAAATAGCAAAGTCAGTTGGAATGATACTAGATCTTCACTTCGTGTAAAGGAGGCCTTTTTTTTCCCTTTCTATTCTGATGAAGTCTAGAGGAAGAGGGCGAGGTTGGCAGCAGGCCTGAGCAAGGGCTGGCTGAAAACCAGCAGACTCAGCTCCCCTGAGCCCCAGAGGAAGTTGCGAGTGCGGCGTTTGCGGTCACCATGGTGACAGGACCAACTTCCGCCTAACTCACCTGCCCCTCTCCCGCGAGGCGTACCATGACAACCAGACTCCTGCGTTGCGGAAGCTGGTTGTCCTGATCACTACCGTTAGGGAACCGCAGCGGACACCACCCCTATCCCGAGGGGACTCGAAAATGTACAGCCAGCGGTTTGGCATTGTACAGCGGGAGGTTAAGGGCCCCACTCCCAAAGTGGTGATTGTGGTAAGCACGGGACGTGAGCGGGACCCTACCACTTCCTCCATCCTTCCGCACTCCAGGCCTAACGGAACCGAACCTGGCCTCCAGTAGGGGCTCTCTCAAGGGGAGAAGGTGCCTGCTGCATTGGAGTTGAATTTATGAAAGGAAGAATAAAGTCTCTTCCGTACTCCGTCCTTCCCCACCTCACAGCCTCCTTTCCCCCAGCCCTCGCGTCGTTCATAATATTTAGATTCTGTTTTTGGAGCATCACTAGGAATTTTGAGGGTTTTCAGTCTCCAAGACACCCGAGGGAGTTCATCCTTTGCAAGGTGAAGTGTGTGTCACTGGAAGGGGCTCTGGGCCAGGCGGCAGGAAATCAGGTCAGGGCTGGCGGTGATTCAGCCGTATGACCTTGGGTTGGTCCTGCATCCCTAGGAAAATTGTCTGTGGAAGGGGTGTTGGGCTGTGAGGGGTTGTGAGTGGTTATGGAGTCCTTCCTGTGTGAACTCACCTGTAACAGAAGTGTCGCAGCAGGCCTGAATGGCAATAGGATGGTTTGTTGCCTGGAAAGCTGGGATAATCATAGGTGGCTGGGGGAATGCTGCCTGCTGCAGGATTTGATGGATCCTGCTCAGAACCCCAGGCACTTGGTCCATGCACCTGTATTTCAACAGGCTGGAAAAACCCGTGTGTAATTAGACAATTACAGGGGTATTACTTGAGCACCAGCTGCGGGCAGCACAGGTGAGAGATACAGGTGAATACAATGACCTTGGGACGTTTACCCTTCAATAGAAGTCTCTAACCTGCCTTCAAGGTGTCCATTATCTAATTGCAGAAACAACTTGCTCATGAATAAAACCATCAGTGGTTAACAGTAGGTAATGATTGATATGCTATATTCTGTGATGTCACTTTATGGAAGAAAGATCAGGGATCATAAAGGATAGTTTTATGTTCCATGGTGCACATAGCAATTCTCAGTCAATTAATTTAATTTTTAAAAGATTTTATTTATTTTTAGAGAGAGAAAAAGGGAGAGAAACGTCAATCAGTTGCCTCTTGTACACGCCCCCAGTGGGGACTGAACCCACAACCCAGGCATGTGCCCTGACCAGGAATTGAACCAACAACCTTTGTTTTGCAGAATGACACCAACTGAGCCACGCTGGTCAGGGCAATTTTCAGTCAGTTTATAGGCCTGCTCCCTCTCTTTTAGGTCCAAGGACTATAGGATTAGGTCTGGAAATCAGTATACTGGAATTTTCTACAGACTGTAGCATTCAAGGTAATAGTCACAGGTAGACTACATGAGCGACAGAAACTTACCTACTTTGGGTTCAGTGTCTGAACACAGAGTTCAAGGCTGGTGCCATTCATTACTTGTATTAGAAACCAGTGAGGATTTCTGTTCTGCCAAATTACCACCAAACCAGAGAAGCAGGCCTATTTAATACTTTGAGCTTACAGAAAAATGAAAAGGTCAGAGTCAGTGCACCTCAGATTTCAGAGGGGATAAGAAGTATAGATGTTAGAGGTTGAAGAGTTGTGGTAGGAGAAGAATAAAAGCAACCAGAGCTGAGACTTGGATGCTAAACAACTCCTCCAAGAAAAAGCAATAAAAGATGGAATGTCTGAAGTAATGGAGAAGTGAAATGAGCCACAATTTGGTGAGTGCTTCTTGGGAACCCAGTTATTCACTTCTCAAAATAGTTTTTTAGAAGGACATTTATTTTGATCATGGGTAGAGAGGTAGAGCCCAGAATCAAACCTAGGATATAAAACACTGCTCTTTAAGACATTAAATTATAAATTGTAATACTAGAAACTATAACATGAGCTGTTATAGTAACAAAAGCCTTCAGTGACCTTGTAAATACAAGGTAGTTATAGAGTTCTTTGTTCTCCTGCCTTTAGCATGGTCTAGAGTCCAATGTCCACACGTGGCTTTTGAGCACTTGAAATATGCTTAGAGTCACACGTTGAGATTATCATATTTTGGATATATTGGTTAAATAAAATATATTATTAAAATTAATTTCCCCTGTTTCTTTTTGCTTTTTATTTTAATTTTATTTGTTAATTACAGTTTACATTCAATATTATTTTGTATTAGTTTCAGGTGTCTTTTTACTTTTTTAAATGCAGCTACTAGAAAATGTGAAATTACAGATCTGTTTTTGCATTATATTTCTATTAAACAGTGCCAGTTTTGACTTATGACAAGATTGTGCATGGACTGACATCTTCTTGTTAGAGAACTCCAGGTCATACCTTATTCATCCAGACACTGGGTCCCTCCTGACCACACAGTCCTGCATGCCCCAAGCCTTAAAGGGCTTCCTGACCCCCTGGCTATTGCTCAGGCTGTTTCTCAACACTGCCATCTAACTCCATTCCCCTCTTCAGTCAAAATGAACCTCAGTTTTGTTTTGTTTTTTTAAGATTTTATGTATGTATTTCTGGAGAGGGGGGAAGGGAGGGAGAAGGAGTGGGAGAGAAACATCGATGTGTGAGAGAAACATCAAACAGTTGCCTCTCGCATGCCCCAAACCAGGAACCTGGCCCACAACCCAGGCATGTGCCCTGACTGGGAATCAAACTGGCAACCTCTCAGTTCGCAGGCTGGCACTCAGTGCCAGTCAGGGCAGAGCCTGGTTCTTGAGCTGATGACTCAAAACCATTGATTTTTAATGACATTGGTGCTTGGTTCCTGTTCTCAGTCTGTATGTCTACTGGGAGCCTGAGTACCTACAAACATCCCTCCCAAGGTGCAGCCTCCACCCTGCTCTCATTTGTTGTCACTGAGTCTGCATTCATAAAACTTTATACTGCCCTGACTGGTGTGCCTCAGTGGTTGGGCATCATCCCCCAAAAAACGAGAAGTTGCCAGATCGATTCCTGATCAGGGCATGTGCCTGAGTTGCAGATTTGATCCCTGGCTGGGGTGCATATGAGAGGCAGCTGACTGATGTTTCTCTCATGCCAACATTTCTCACCCTCTCTTCCTCCCTCCCTCCCCACTCTCTTAAATAAGTAAAAATAAAAAAATTTAAAGCTATACATGTTAGAGAACAGTAATTTGTTAACTGGCTCCAGACTTTAAATAATTCTATTATGTATTAGCTACTTCCCATGATAGAACCCCAAACATCATCTGTCTCTAACACACCTTTACCCTTCCTTATCTTGTTCAACTAAATCTAGGTAGCCACATGTGTACCCAGATCCTGAATCTTTTCATCAAGCTGTCTCCAGATGTTGATTTTCTTTCCCCAGGAGAATCCCTCACCAAGACCCAACCTTATATTTTGGTAATTCTGACAGTGATATTCTAAGTGTAAATGAGCAGCTTGACTTTCTGCCATATGAGTTAAGAGTTTTGTAACTGTGAATCAGCTCCCCAGAGCCTCACTGCTGACATAAGGTTGACTTGATAAAACTGGCTGGAAATACAAAGCTCAAGACAATGGATTTAATGGTGGCTCGAGGAGGAGCAGAGCCCACACAGAAACATTGTCTTTTCTCTCTGTCATTCATATTGAGTACCTGATAGCGGTAGGTATTTTGTTCAATGCGAGGAATACAGAAATGAAAAAGATAGAGTCCATGTGATTTTATTAAATGTATCACTATATATTCAAAATAGTATATGCATTTCCAACTTTTGAGTAGATGTTGGTAAAAAATGAACATATTTACGGAAATTCAAGTTACCTAAAATGTCAGGAACACAGCCCTTGTATTAAACTTCTGGGCACCATAGAAATAGAAATGAAGTTCTACCACTTGTTTTGTTTTCCTTTTTTACTTTGCCTTCTTTCCCTCTTACCTCCCTCCCTTTCTTCCTTCTCACAAGTCATTTAATATATGTCCTATGTACAGTTGATCCTTGAACAACACAGGTTTGAATTGTGCAGGTCCACTCACACAAAGATTTTTTTCAATAAATACCTGTACTATTTTTTTTATTTGCAGTTGGGAGTCTGGGGATGTAGAGAGCCTACTGTATGCATTGATCTATGTCATTTTATATAGGGGACTAGCATTGGCAGATTTTGGTATGGGGAGCAGTCCTGGAATCAATCCCCTGTGGATACTGTAAAAACTTAAATTTGGGGGGGAGTCAGAAGTTATATGTGGATTTTTGACTATGTGTGCCCCAACCCCTATTTTATTCAAGCATCAACTGTACTTAGATAGTAGCCCTTTTTAATTGAAAATGTTTTGATGGTGATAACTATGTTGTCTGCCCCTGAAAATCAGTGGGGTACTGAATGGCAAGATCAAGGTCAGGAATTGGAAGACCTCTAATTCTTGTTCTATTCAGGTATGCTCCAGTTATTTGAAGCACCTTGGGCAAATAATTTGATTTCTATGGTTTGACTAGATAATCTCTAGAGTCCTATTCAAATTTTTTACTTTATAATTCCATGAACTTTTACTCAAATGGAACATGAGAAATATTTTAGATTGATTTCATGACATCTTAGATATAAGACTCAAAGAATCAAACAAGTTACACCTTAGCCACTTAAACTGTTTGCAGTTGTAGCAGGATGTATTAGTTTCATTATCGTTTTCTTTTTTTCTTGTATTGTTTTACGTTATCATTTAGCCCCCTTATATCCTCTCTCCCCCTGTGTTAGTTTTATATACTAAGTTTTATTTAGTATGAATATTGGTGGAGGTCAAGATTAATTGAAGATATGCTATTGGCCCTGACTAGGGTGTCTCAGTGGATTGAGTGACGACCTGTGCAGCAAAAGGTTACTGGTTCAATTCCCAGTCAGGGCACATGCCTGGGTTGCAAGCCAGGTCCCCAGTTGGGTACATGCAAGAGGCAACCAATTGATGTATATCTCATGTACTGATGTTTCTCTGCCTCTCTTTCTCCTCCTCTCTCCCCTCTCTAAAAGTCAATAAGTAAAATCTTTGGAAAAAATAAGAAAGAAATATGCTATTGATTTTGGATCTATCAAAAATGATAGTTGTTATTTGTGTTCAGAGAGCCAAGCCTCCCAAAGGCCAAAGGACTGAGCAGCATCTGGAAAGAATCCGAAGCAACCATGAGAAACATCATGCTATTTTGGATTCCATTAAGTCAATGGAGCGGGATCGCTTGAAAGTTGACTGGTACCAGCACAATGACCGCAAATTTGTGGATAGTCTTGTGAAAGCAAGAATCAAGGATGCCATGCAAGGGTTTATCATCAACACTGAAGAAAGACGAAATAAGTAAGGCTCACAAACCTGATAACCCAGACTATGAAATAGCCCTAGAACCACAACTTGAGATTGACCAATCAAAAAAATCAAGTGAATTCTATAGTAAGAATCATGGCCAAGATATTCATATTCCTACCAAGTCAATAGTTATTGCTTATTTATTTTTCACTTATAATAACCTATATTATCATGATAGCAAAAGAATAACTGCTTTATATTTTGTTACTTTAATGAAAATCTCATTATTTCTTTTGTTGAAGATATACATTACATATCTTATCTGTATGTGATCAAATAAAGTATGGCACAGATCAGTCTCTTTATTGCTCTAAATGGCAACTAGTTTTATGGAAGACCGCATTGATCTTTTTTGTAAATTTTTTTATTGTTCAATTACAGTTGTCCCCACTTTCTCCCCATTACTCTCCCCTGCCCTACCCACCCCTCACTTTCCACATTCAATCCACCCCTCCCCACCCGTTATCTTTGTCCATGGATCCTTTATACATGTTCCTTGACTTGACCATTCCCTTTATCTCTTTATTCTTACACAATTTATGATTAAACATTAACTTCTGAAATCAAATTTAACAAAATAAAAATCATGTAGCATCACAGTTTTCGTTTTGTTTTGTTTTTTGTCATTTTGTTTCAGGCTCCGTGAACTTCTAGCATCAGAAGAAAATAAGTATTTCACTGAAATGCAGTTGAAAGAAGAAACAATTGAGGAGAGAAAAGATAGAATGAAAGAGAAAATAAGATTATTAAAGGAGAAGAAAGAAAAAGAGAGACAAGATTTTGTGGCTGAAAAACTAGACCAGCAATTCAGGTAATGATGTCAGAAAAACACACACAGAATCTGTGCATTAAAAAGGATTTAGGCGCCCTGGTCAGGGTGGCTCAGTTGGTTGGAGCATCATCCCATAGACCAAAAGATTGCCGGTTCGATTCCCAGTCAGAGCACATGCCCAGGTTTTGGATTCAGTCCCTTGTTGGGGCACATATGAGCCAATCAATGTTTCTGTCTCACATTGATGTCTCTCTCTCCCCTCACCCCCCAACCCCCGCCCTTCCACTCTCTCTAACACAATGAAAAAATGTCTTCAGGTGAAGATAAAAAAATAAATAAAACTTAAAAAGATTTAGGAATGCTAATTAATAGTAAAGCATAGCCTTAAGAGGGTATAGCCAGTAGTTGTATTTTTAAGTCTTGGTAATTATATACACATCATTGCATAATGCAGGCACTGAGGGTTTTTGTTTTGTTTTGTGTTAGTAACACTTAAGATTTACTCAACAAATTTCCAGTATACAACACAGTATTATTGTCTATAGTCACCATATGGTACAGTAGAACTTCCCCAGAACTTATTCATCTTATATATGAAAGGTTGTATTCTTTCATCAACATCTTCCCTTTTCCCTTACCCCTATTCCCTGGGAACCAGCATGCTGCTCTCCATTTCTATATGTTCAACTTCCTTATTTTTTTAGATTCCACCTGTGAGGTTATATACTATTTGTCTTTCTCTGTCTGGTTTGTTTCACTTAGTGTAATATCCTCCAGGTTCATTCATGCAGTTACTATGCTGAAAAAAAGTGGGAAGAGTGGGCACCCTTGTTTTCTTCCTGATTTTAGAAGACAAGACTTCAGCTTTCCACTGTTGAATATGATGATCACTGAAGAACTGTCATATATGGCCTTATTGTGTTGAGCTACATTCTGTCTATACCTAATAAGTTGAAAGTTTTTTATCATGAATTTGTCAAATGCTTTTTCTACATCTGTTGAGATTATCATATAATTTTTATCCTTTATCCTGTTAAAGCGGCTATCACATTTATTGATTTGCCTTTGTTGAATCATTCTTGCTTCCCAGGGATAAATCCCTCTTGATCAGGTGTATAATCCTTTTAATGTGCTCTTAAGTTCAGCTTGCTAGTATTTTATTGAGAATTTTTACATCTGTGTTCATCAGGGATATTGGCCTGTAATTTTCTTTTCTTGTAGCGTCCATGTCTGGCTTTGGTGCCAGGGTAATGCTCCTCTTGTAAATGACTTTGGAAGTGTTCTCTTTTATTCCATTTTTTGGGAAGTATATGAGAAGAATTGGTATTATTATTGAGTGGCTTAACAAAAAACAAATGTCACTTAGGCTATCAGGTCACTGAGTATGAGTGGGACAGTTTGTATATAGTTTTACTCTAGATCAGGAAGAGAATGGTCCAAGATAAAGTACAATGTAAACTCTGAGTTTAAAATATGGTGGAATACAGGAGGAATACAAGAGTTCATTTTTCATAATACACAAAATTTGAATAGGTGAGAAATCTCTGAAGGTCTCTGAAGGTGAGAAAGAAGCAAAACCAAGCATGTGGAGGGACCACAACATATGGTTCAGAGATAAAGCTTTTCCCATCTCCTCTCCTTCTCTGCCATGAAGTTGTTTTGAATTACATAGACTGCCCTAAATCCTCCTGGCAGAGGCCCAAAGGAGAAGTAAGCTATTGCAGTGAGTAGTGCATACAAATTGCAGATACGGCTGTTAACAAAGTAAATTAGACTGCCAAAACTAGAGGTAATGGGAAGTTCCTGGGCTTGGGGAGCTGCTCAAGAAGGCCAGTGAAGAAAACCAGAGCAATAGTGCATATGATCAGAAGGGACTTGCTGCTCCACATCTTGCAGATGATTAATTTGAGCTCCACAGATATAAATTTTACCAGGTCTTCAAGCTTCTACTAAGCAAAACAGGAGTAGACTTGGATTTTCTGGACTTTCTGAAGTTTAACCTCGTCTCCTGTCCTTGGTAGGACTCAGACACTCCCTACTGGCTGCTGGAGGAGAAGATGCTGTGAGGGACAAAGGGGACACTGGCAAGTGAATTTCAGTGGACTATTCATATAGTTCCCCATGGGATGGTGATGTTGAACAACTGTTCATGAGCTTATTTGCCATCTGTATATCATCCTCTTTGGTGAAATGTCTCTTTATGTCTTTTGCCCATTTTCTAATTGGATTAGCTATTAAGTTTTGAGAGTTCTTTATGCCTTCAGGATATGAGTCCTTTGTGTTGGATATGTGGTTTGGAAATATTTTTACCTAATATGTAGCTTGTTTTTTATTCTCTCAATCGGGTGTTTCACAGAGAGATTTTAAATTTGATGAAATCTAATTTATCAATATGTCTTTTATGGGCCATGCTTTTGGCACATTGTGATTTTCTTTTTAATGTCCTATTCTTATACACAATTACTGATTGGACCCCAGACATGTAATTGTACACAGTTTTTGGCTTTGTTTTGCTTTGGGGTGTTTTTTGTTAAACAAATACCCTAAGATGCATGGTCAGAACTCTTGAGGGTAGCCTTGTCCCTTTTAATTACTGGCGGAGGTGATATCATGAAGTACCGAAGAACCCAAACTCCAGGGCCAGCCTGACAGGTTTTCACTCCCATGCTTACCACTTATGGGATATATGAACCTACCTAAGGTGCTCAACTGCTTTGTGCCTCCTTTTACTTATCTGTAAACTGGGGATGATGATAATGATGCAAATGAACTTACAGTAATGTTCACTGCAACATTGGTTGTTATAAAGATTATAAGAATCCATGTATATATAAAGTGCTTAAAAGAATGCCTGGCAAATAAAAACTCAATAACTGTTGCTAATATTACTGCTGCAGGTTGTGTGGCTTGGGACTCAAAAATGGGGATAATACTTGCTGTTTCGTCTAAGTTATAAGATACTCATGAGGATGAAGTAAGATTTTTTGTGTGAGAGTACCATGTAAAGCACTCACAAACAAAAAGTTTTCTTTTTTTGTCAATGATTATTATCATTAAAATAGATAGCTATATTTTACCTATCTGTAGATGAGAGAATATCCCTCAAGGGTCCCTAAGGTCAAGTGAAAAGGTGAATCATTAGAATGTAGGGAGAAAATATTTGATGTTTATTTTTTATCTCATCTCTTTTTAATTTTAATTTTTTGCATATATTTAATAATTTATGTTAAAACAACAACTGCATACAGTTTATAAATAATAATCGTATTTGTGGGTACTTAGAATTTTTTTACTGAAAGAGATACATAATGAAAAAGGTGTGAAGACCTACTGATCTAAAGAAATACTTGATATGGGCACCTTCATACAGTCTTATTTCAGGCTTTTTTAGCAGCATGCATCATCAACTGTCTTAACATTTTTGTGCTCTGATTTTACATTAAGGAAGGAAATTACCTTAAGGAAATCATCAGAGATAAGCAGAAAGTGGTACATTTAAGAATATTCATTGCAATATTATAATAGAAGTCAGAAGTAACCGATATGGCTCTGGCTGGCTAGTTCAGTTGGTTGAAGTCATCCCAATATACCAATGTTGCAGGTTCAATCCCTGGACAAGGCATATAAAAGAATTAACCAATGAATACATAAATAAGTGAAACAACAAATCATTGTCTCTCTCTCCCTTCTGTTCTCTCTCTCTAAAATCAATAAATAACTTTTTTTAAAGAAGTAACCTATATATTCATCAAATAAGGAAATGTATCAATAAATTGTGATATGTTCCTAGGTTCCAGCCTATATTACACAGCTTAGTAAACTAATAAGTTTTTGAAATTAGGAATTATTTTTAAGAATATTTCATGAGGACTTCCAGCCAAGACAGAGGTGTAGGTTAGATACACTTCGCCTCCTACTACAACCAAAAGAAAGAAAACAAATTTAAAAACAAAAGATAACCAGAACTGCCAGCAAATTGAACTGCATGGAAGTCAGACAACCAAGGATCTAAAGAAGAAACATTCATTCAAACCAGTAGGAAGGGTGGAGATGGGCAGCTGGGGCGGAGAGGACATGGGGCAAGGCAGCGGCTGGAGGACCGGGCGGTCCCACATTTGTGTGCAGATAAACTGGGAGGAACAGCTGGGGAGCAAGACAGACTGTGCAATACAGGGTTCCGGTGCAGGAAAAGAAAGCCTCAGAACCTCTGGCTATAAAAACCTGTGGGGGATACGGCAGCGGGAGAAACTCCCAGCGTCACAGGCGAGTTCACTGGAGAGGCCCACAGGGTTCCAGAACATTCACAAACCCACCCACCTGGACAACAGCACTAGGAGGGCCCTATTTGCTCACGGGTAGCCGGGGAAGTGAGTGAAAGCCGGCCGAGAGCCGAGCAAGCAGCATTGTTCCCTCCCTGACCCCTCCCCCACATGCAGCTCCACAATGCAGCAAAGTGGGTTGCCCCGCCCTGGTGAATGCCTAAGGCTCTGCCCCCTCCGACACAACGGGTGCACTGAGACAAAGAAACATGGCCCAAATGAAAGAACAGATCAAAGCTCCAAAAATAGAACTAAGCGAGGAGGAGAGAGCCAACCTGTTGTACGCACAGTTCAAAACACTGGTAATCAGGATGCTCACAGAAATAGTTGAGTATGCTTTCAGAATGGAGGAAAAAGTGAAGGCTATGCAAAGTGAAGTGAAGAAAATATGCAGGGAACCAACAGCGAAGGGAAGGAGACCGGGGCTCAAATCAACTCTCTGGAGCAGAAGGAAGAGATGCATATTCAACCAGAACAGAATAAAGAAACAAGAATTCAAAGAAAATGAAGAGAGGCTTAGGAACCTCTGGGACAACTTTAAACATTCCAACGACTGAATCACAGGGGTGCCAGAAGGAGAAGAGGAAGAGCAAGAAATTGAAAACTTATTTGAAAAAATAATGAAGGAGAACTCCCTCGATCTGGCCAAGGAAATAGACTTCCCGGAGATCCAGGAAGCTCAGAGAGTCCCAAAGAGGTGGACCGAAGGAAGCACACACC